TCTCAGCATGCTGTCTGTCTGCTTCTAGAAACTGTGGCGCAGTTAGGTCGCCACGCTCGATTCAGCTAGGAACGTTTAATCTCGGTTTATATCTGGAATCGTTTTCAACAGACAACTGGCTAACTGTTACGTAGCTTAGATTCAAATTGGTTTGAAAGAACACTTACTATTAAAACCTCTCCTCTGCGTCTCGGGTTGCTATTAATATATTGTGCTTAACAGCAACAATTTTCAGCTTTTTAACAGTTTAAGAGAACGTAAACTGTCGTGACTTTAGCATTATTGGCTGAAAAATGGCATAATGGGCGGGATTGTGGTGGCTGAAATGGAGCTTTTCCTTCTTGAACAATCTGAAGCAAAAAAAAAATAGTAAGCGAATGTCCGTTACTCGAGCAGAAAAACTGAGTTTTTTGGGCTTTGGTCTTCGCACAGTTGAAAAATCCTCGACGCCAGATCTCCACTGAGACCGACTCAGACCTGAAACGAAACAACAGCACAAAGGAACATTAGAGAAAAGCGAATGTTTGGCGGCGGAAATCCAGAAAACGATCAAAAGGTAGTTTTTGCCGATAAAAACTGATGTGGTAGCCGAACTTTGGGATAAAAATCGTCTTTTAAATCGCCAAAAGGTGGAGAGCCGTCCTCCGACGCGACACTTACCTCAGACAAATCCAGGAATGCTCCGGTGAGGGCGGGACTCGGCTTATATAGCTCTGACGTGTTTCGCGTCGTCCCGGGCTCGCGCGCGCGCGCGCTGTCGGAGCAAAATGGAGTTGATGATCACGCGCTCCTCCAGAAACGACCTTCTTCTGTGTGTTCAAGGACGAGCCCATCCCCCACCCCGGCTTCCGGTGGTTTTACGTGCTTTCTATGCGAAGATAATCATTCATTTGTTGGATTTTTTTTATGAAGTAACGTAAGAATTCACTCTGCAATAATATAGGCGTATTCGTTTATGCAAATTCAAGAACTAGCTATTGTAAGGCAGATTCAGCCTTTATGTAAATCACTGTAACGCTATTATCTTCAAAGTGTGGGTTAAAAGTAAACATTAATTCATTTAAACGATCATTTATATAACCACAAGTAATATTCCTAAGACAAAAATGCAAAACATTGGCACGACATGCAATAATTAGCTGGCAAACTGACCAACAGGAGGGATCGTTTCAGGAAACGTTTCACATAAAAATACATTTTTACATTGATTTCTGTCTGAAATATTTGACTAGGTAAACTATGAATTCATTTTAAACGATCTCTTTTCAAATGAAAACGTGAGAACAATAAACGCGCACTTCCGTCACAGTAAGTTACACTTTAACCTCAACAACTTCCTTTGATGCAAAACAAAATGGCAGCCTCCTTACGGCGCATTGGAATAGTTGTCTGCCGCACATTTCCTGTCATTTTACAACGAAATATTCAAGCACAGGTTGGTTGGTTACAGAGAAATATATTAATTGATGGGTTTTTTTAATACAGGATGTATAAATATGTCTGTTGCTGTCCACTCATTTCGCGTGCAAACAACAACAACAAACAAAGGACAAATTACGCGTTTTGTATTGCAGAGAATCCGAGATTGGAAAAGAAGTGCTCCAGTGCTGCGTCTGAATTTTCGTGCTTCATCATCTTCATCATCTTCATCATCTGCTGATGACACGGATTCAGCTGAGGTACTGTCTAGATATTCAGACAGACCATGGGAATACTTAGAAAGTGAAGGTAAATATGATTGATTAGATGATTAAAATGAATTACTTGTGGTTAAAACAGCGTTTAATGTTGCTCAAATCTCTCTTTAGAGTACATTGAGCGCTATGGATCAAAGCCTGTGTGGTCTAACTATAGGAGGAATCATAAGGGGGGCGTCCCTCCTCAAAAGACAAGAAAGACCTGTATTGCAAGTTCTCATTTGTTTTGAATTTTGATTGATTGGTTTGTTCTTCAGATTTTTTTTTTCTTCAGTCCATTAAATTTGTATTAATGAGGATGATTGTCTTGTCATAGAGAGGTGACAAGATATGCGGCAATCCTTGTCCCATCTGTCGTGATCCAAACATCATTGTCCATTACAAGGTTTGTTTTTCGACTCTGTCTTTTGTGTGTGTGTGAGGACAATGTATTTGCTTTAATATACACGCTTTTCCTCTGCAGAATGTGAACCTGTTGCAGCAGTTCATTAGTCCTCAAACAGGAATTGTGCATGATCCCACTCGAACCGGTAATTCATTTCTTAATACATTCAAGTGTCACATTTCTGGTGTGATCATGATCTGATCAGCACTTTTCATCTTCAATTGTTTCCTCAGGTGCGTGTATGAAACAACAGAAACTACTTAACAAGGCCATTGAAACTGCTAGAGATTGTGGTAAATGTACACTTTTTTTATTGTTATAAGTGCCAATGTGCACAAACAAGTCATTTTATGAAAATAAATGATCAATTTCATTATTTGGTGCACAAGTGCTTAATGTGATGGTTTTTTTTCTTCCTTCGTTTAAGGTTTACTTTCTGCCCAGTTACC